GGGGAACGTAGGTCCAGTCTTAGGGTCTCAGTTTGTTGTGGCTGCGGGAGAGTGGCCGTCTCCCCCATGCCCGCCATGCTTGTAGGCCGCAGAGTAGTTGTGAGTGGCCACAGCTCGGATTGTCGCTTGGATGGTATCATCCTATTCGTCTCAGTGTCAGCAAGAGATAGGTGGCCTCTCTGTAGTGAGAAATCATCTTTTTGTTAGTGAAATTCAGCCTTTTCTCTGGCAGTCAGCAGGAGCTGCAGAGGTTTGCTTCCTCTCAGCTCTGCGGTCAGGCCCTGCCCCCGGTTCTCAAGATGCTTTAAGAAAGGTAAGCCAAACGTGGGAGAAGGGGCTACCGGCTCAACATCCACCGCGACTGGGGCTGGGGGTGTCACCGGTGAAGGTAGGCACGATGCTGCCTTGGTTAAAACTATAACCTAACCAAGAGGTGGCGAGGTTCTTATGGCTAGGTTTTACGGAGGGTTTCGTGATTCCGTTTCAAGGCAAGGGTCCAGGTGAGTTATGCGAAAATCTTCGGTCGGTGTCGGAGCATCCTGAGGTAGCTAGGGAAAAGTTATGCAAGGAAGTGCAATTGGGGAGGATGGCGGAGCCATTCGCTTCCCCGACATTAGTAGGTTTGCGAGTGTCTCCACTTGGGGTGGTCCCCAAGAAAGAGTCTGGGAAATTCTGTATGATACATAATTTATCGTACCCAAAGAGGGCATCAGTAAATGATGATATCGACGAGGCCCTGTGTTCTGTTTCCTACATGTCATATGACAAGGCTGTTGAGTTGGTAAGGAGAGCGGGGCATGGAGCACTGATGACGAAAGTGGATGTGGAAGCGGTGTTCAGGCTGCTTCCCATACACCCGGATTGTCATCACCTACTGGGGTGTTATTTCGAAGGGGGGTAGTTCGTGGACTTGTGCCTACCTATGGGATGCGCCATCTCATGTGCTTACTTCGAGAGGTTTAGCACCTTCTTGGAGTGGGTGGTAAGGCGAGAATTGGCAGGGGGTGCAGTGGTGCACTACCTTTATGATATTTTTTCGTCGGCCCGCCAGGAACGGAGCGCTGTAGCCAAATATTGCAGGTCTTTCAGTGGGTGGCACATATGTTCGGGGTGCCGTTGGCAGAGGACAAAATGGTGGGGCCCAATACTTGCCTCAGCTTTCTGGGGTTGGAGATCGACTCAGTACGAGGGGAATGCAGGTTGCCTTGGGACAAGCTGCACACTCTTAGGCAATTGGTGGACACGGTTAGGAAGGCAAGGAAGGTAACCTTGCGTGAGTTTCAGTCGTTAATAGGGAGCCTGAATTTTGCATGTTGGGTAATTCCCATGGGGAGGGTTTTCTGCAGGCAACTGGCACGGACGACGAGCGGGGTGAAAAAAACGTTGCATTATATCAGTGTGTCGGTAGACATGAAAGAAGACCTGGGAGTATGGGCGAGGTTTTTGCAGGAGTTTAACGGGAGAGTGTTTTTTCGGGAACCAGTGGGGTCATCGGAAGACGTAGGCTTGTTTACAGATGCATCGGGTAGCGTCGGGTTCGGGTCGTATCTAGCGGGACAGTGGTGGGCAGAGAGGTGGCCAGAGGCCTGGAATGCAAGCCCATTGATTAGGAATATGGCGTTTTTGGAATTTTTCTCGGTGGTCATAGATGTAGCATTATGGGGTTCAGAGCTAGCCATTAAGAGAGTGGTGTTCAATTTGGATAACATGGCGGTGGTGCAAGCAATCAACGGGTTATCTGCTTCTTCATGGCCGGTGGTACGGTTACTAAGACAATTAGTACTCTTATGCATGTCGTTTAATATTGTGTTTCGAGCTAGACATATTCCGGGGCTAACCAATGTAGTCGATGATGCGCTGTCTCGCTTACAGTGGGTGCGTTTTCAGGAGGCGGCGCCGGAAGCGGAGGAAAAGAGACAAGCTTGTCCAGCAGAGATGTGGCAGCTCGGGACGTCCTGCTTGGGGAGTACATAAAGAAGTCTTTGGCGCCTGGGACTTGGTAGGGGCGGAGGGCTCTGGGAACAATCGGATGGACGTGCTGTTATGGATCCTATGCCACTTGTTCGCGGAGCAATCATAGCCATCGATGGTGGATAGGCACTTGTCAGTGTTAGCATTCCTGTTCAAGTTCAATGGCTGGGATGACGTGACGAAGCATTTTATAGTGAGGCAAGTGGTACGGGGATTCAGGAAGGGTAAGAAAACAGGAGATACAAGAAGGCCAGTTTCGTTCACAGTATTGGAAGGGTTGCTAGGCAAGCTACCTGAGATATGTTTGTCCGCGTTCGAAGTGGCGTTGTTTACAGTAGCGTTTTCATGGGCCTTTTTTGGGGCGTTTCGGGTAGGAGAATTGGTTAGCGCCAACAAGAAGGGGGTTGGCGGGCTCAGGTTGGAATACGTGACGGTTGGTGGGGACAGGGTAAAGATACGATTGGTTCGCTCGAAGACAGATGTCTTTGTGAAAGGTTCCATGGCCACATTGTTTGAACTACCGGGGTCTGGGTTGTGCCCAGCGGCGAGTGGGGCTGGGTTTGTGGAAAACCGACCAGAGGTTAAAGGATGTTTCTTTATACATGCTGATGGCACAGCGCTGTCACGCTTCCAATTTGTGCGGGTTTTCCGGTTGGGCTTACAGAAGTTAGGGCTGTAGCCTATGCAGTTCGGAACACACTCTTTCCGTATAGGAGCAGCGACTAAAGCGGCGCACTTGGGCCAGTGGCGGATCCAGAGCCTGATCTCGGGAGGGGCACTTGTAGATTATTTAAAGAAATAATCCAGACACAATAACCACTACAGCTCAGTGTAGCGGTTATGGTGTCAATAGTGCCGGGACCCCCTCCCACAGTAAGTAGTCAAACCGTTTAAGAACAGTTTGACAACTTACCTGAGATCTGCTAGGAAATGGGGCTGTAGTAAGGTATAGGAGCAGTGGTGTGTGTGAGTGGTGCAATGTGTAAGGGGTGCAGTGTGTGTGTGTGTGAAGGTTGTAGTGTGTGAGTGAGGGCGGCAGTGTATGTCAGGGATGCAGTGTATGTGTGTAACAGTTGCAGTGTGTGTGAGTATTGCAGTGTGTGTGTATGGGGGGCAGTATGTGTGTATGGGGGAGCAGTGTGTGTATGTGGGGGCAGTGTGTGTGTATGGCGGGCAGTGTGTGTGTGTATAGTGTGTATAGCGGGCAGTATTGTAATGTATAGCGTGTGTGTGTAGCAGTGTGTGTAAGGGGCAGTGTGTGTGTGTGTGTGTATAGGGGGCAGTTGTGTGTATGGCGGGCAGTTTGTGTGTATAGGGCAGTGTGTGTGTATAGGGGCAGTGTGTGTATGGGGGGCAGTGTTTGTGTATGGGGGCAGTGTGTGTGTGTGGGGGCAGTGTGTGTGTATGGGGGCAGTATGTGTGTGTATGGGGGCAGTGTGTGTGTATGGGGGCAGTGTGTGTGTATGGGGGCAGTTTGTGTGTATAGGGCAGTTTGTGTGTATGGGGGCAGTTTGTGTGAATGGGGGGCAGTGTGTGTGAATGGGGGGCAGTGTGTGTGTATGGGGCAGTTTGTGTGTATAGGGGTGGTTTGTGTGAATGGGGGGCAGTTTGTGTGTATAGGGGGCAGTTTGTGTGAATTGGGGGGCAGTTTGTGTGTATTGGGGGCAGTTTGTGTGTATGGGGGGCAGTTTGTGTGTATAGGGGGCAGTTTGTGTGAATGGGGGGGCAGTTTGTGTGTATTGGCGGGGCAGTATTGGGGGCAATGTATGTGTGTGATCAGGGTATGGTGGCTTTTTTTTTATTATATAATATTTTTTAATTTAATTAAAATAAATAAATATCCTATGTCCCCCCTCCCTTCTTACCTTTACTGGGGAGGAGGGGGGACATATTTCGTTCCCTGGTGGTCCCAGTGGTGATTCATTGGTGGTCCCAGTGGTCAGAGTGATCTCTAGCCCGCGCTCCCGGGCTAGAGTTCACTCTCGCGAGATTTGGAGCGTTGCTGTGGTAACCGCGGCAACGCTCCAAATCTCGCGAGAGGAGGACCCGGAGGAGCTGCAGTTTGAGCTCCCGGGTCCTCCTTCTCCCTCCCATGCCGGCTGTCAGCACAGTGCCTGCGGACCGGGGAGGGAGATCTCTGATCTCCCTCCGGTCCGCAGGCACTTTGCAGGGCTGGCACCTGCATGTGCTGACAGGGGAGGGAGACCGGCGGATTTCTCGGGGGGGGGCAATTGCCCCGTTGCCCCCCCCCTGGATCCGCCACTGACTTGGGCTTAGGAGATGAGCAGATTAAATGGATCGGGAGATGCAAATCACTAAGGTTTCCCTCGTATGTACGGCCAGACAGACTGGTGTGAGCAGGTGGACAATGGGGGGAGAGTTTGGGAGAGTATATGCTGCTTTATCACTGTTGTGTTTTCTTTTAGGTTGGACAGTGTGGATAATTGGCCATTCGTATATCTGTTGGGCACAGAAGAGGGCCGCAGTTCGAAGAAACGGAACACAGCTGGGCTTTCCTGTGGAACGGGTGACGTTATCCTGGTTTGGTTATAGGGGGTTCGATTGGCAGCACATTAGTATAGCGATGTTTCACAAGGTGGCGAAAGAGGCTTTACCAAATGTGGTAGTGGTTCACGGGGGGGGAAACAACTTATGTTTGGTCCCCCAACGTGTACTGGTTAAACAAATGAAGCAGGATATTGATAGAATGCGGGGGCTGATCCCTGGCGTGAGGGTGATGTGGTCAGAGATGGTGCCTCGGTTGAACTGGAGACATGCCAGGGATTCAGCGGCAATTGCTCGATGTCGGGGTAAGGTAAACAAGACCATGGTGGTGTTTGATCGTAGGTTAGGAAGGGTAGTGGTGCGCCATCGCGAATTGGAGGAAAAGTTACCCGGGTACTTTCGTTCAGATGGGGTGCACTTGTCGGATGTAGGTTGTGATCTTTTTAACTTAGGTTTGCAGGAATGTATAGCGCAAGCCCTGTTTTTGTTTAGTGGGGGTCGCACATGTCCTTAAGGTGTCAAGGCAAGTGTTGTGGCGGAAAAGGTCTTGGCTAAACAGGAAGTTTGGTGGATTAGGAAATTGGTAGGCCAAGGTCTAGGCTGGAGAAGGCCGGAGTTAAAAGTGTGGAGGTAGGTTCGAGCCCATCGGTGGCTATGGACCAAGGGGTGTAGGGGTGTCTAGGTACACCCCTGCAGTTAAACAAATGGAGGTGGGGTAGGCCGTGAGTTACATGTTATGTATTATTGGTTATGTTAATGTTTGTTCTTTGGTAGGGTCATTGTCGGGGGTATGGTACAGGAGAGAGCGGAACGAAAGGAGTACTGTTGACAATGACCCTAAATTGTTAATTTATATATTTATATTAATTAATAAAGCTGTGGACTTTATACTCCAACAGAATTTATTGGTGTCTGAGTGTTATTAAAGTTAGAGGTGGGCACATGCCGAATAACGACTGTGCAACAATGTCATGTATTTTGTGATGCATGGAGGGGTGTGTACCTAAGGCTGGGCACCCTTGTGTGTTGATGTCACACAGTCAGAATGTGAAGGTGTAAAGCACTGTAATAATATATTCCTAGGCCCTGTGTACTGTGCGGGTTAGTAGTGTGAATGTATTTGGCACTGCTGTCGTCTGCATTATAATGTCTAAGCAGTGCATGATGGGAAGCAGGGCAGCCACCAAGTGTGCTTATACATAAGTAATTGATCAGTGACTGCAGTATGTTATCCTTTTATTTTCTATGCTTTAAAAAAAAATGTTTTTTTAAATTGATGTTCTCTCTGCCTCTGCAGGAGTTACAGTATCTTTGATTGTGAAATAGTGTCTTTCATCTACCCATTCTGATGGAGATGTTGGCTCACAGTCCGTCAGGCTCTCTGGGTGAGACTGGGGATAAGTCACTGCCCAGGACCCTGTATGCAGCAGCAATCCCCCCCTCCTCTCTATCCAAGTGTAGAGCCGCTGACTCAGGCTTGGCACCAGCACTTTGTCAGGAAATGAGTGAGAAAGACAGAGAGGGGGAGAAAGTGAGAGAGGAGAGAGCCAAAGAGAGGAGCAAGGACAGAGAGGGAAACATATAGTAGAAACATAGAAAAACATGTAGTAGAGTTACAAATGGCAGGACAGTGGATGAACGATACGATGAGTACTTTGACAGATGTAGTGATGGGATCAAGGTCACACTTGTAAAAATATTGGTAAAGATTTGCCAGTTACTAATCCATTTACTGTCACATCATGTCAAACAGGCAACAGCGTATATATACACTGAACAAAATTATAAACGCAACACTTTTGTTTTTGCCCCCATTTTTCATGAGCTGAACTCAAAGATCTAAGACTTTTTCTATGTACACAAAAGGCCTATTTCTCTCAAATATTGTTCACAAATCTGTCTAAATCTGTGTTAGTGAGCACTTCTCCTTTGCAGAGATAATCCATCCACCTCACAGGTGTGACATATCAAGATGCTGATTAGACAGCATGATTATTGCACAGGTGTGCCTTAGGCATAGAATTGATCAGGTTGTTGATTGTGGCCGGTGCAAGGATTTTTGCCGCCCTAGGAAAAAGAAAAATTTGCCGCCTACCCCCTCACCCCCACATGTGACATCACAATGCCCCAGCCATATGATCTAACGCCAGTGCTGCACACAGTGTTTGATTACATTAAAAAGCCTGCAGGGACAGGCTATAGACACCAGAACCACTTCATTAAGCTGCAGTGGCTCTGGGGACTATAGCGTCCCTTTAATGTGAGGTAAATTGAAGATTAGTGTCACTAATAATATACCACCACCACCCCCCGTGTTCTCCTCACCACCACCCCCGTGTTCTCCTCATCACCACCACCCCGTGTTCTCCTCACCACCAACCCCGTGTTCTCCTCATCACCACCACCCCGTGTTCTCCTCACCACCACCCCCCGTGTTCTCCTCACCACCACCCCACCCTGTTCTCCTCACCAGCCCCGTATTCTCCTCACCACCACCACCCCCTGTGTTCTCCTCACCCCCCCTGTTTTCTCCCAACCCCTATCTCCCTGTGCTCTCCTTACTCCCCCGTGTTCTCCTCCCCCAACCCTGTGTTCTCCTCACCTCCCCCCTTCCCTGTGTAGCATGGCCGAGCTCTTCTCCGGTCCGCAGTACAGGAGATTCTGGATCCTGTACCCGACCGGACTGACAGGAAGTGCACACTGAGTGAGCACTTCCTATCAGTCCGGCCGGGTACAGGAAACGGATGTTCCTGTACCGCGGACTGGAGAGGAGCTCGGCCACGCTACACAGGGAAGGGGGGAGGTGAGGAGAACACGGGGGTGAGGCGAACACGGGGGGAGGAGAACAGGGGGGGGTAAGGAGAAAACAGGGAGGTAGGGGTTAGGAGAACACAGGGAGGTTGGGTTTAGGAGAGAGGCAGTGCTGCAACCGTCTGAGGCTCTCTATAGAGCGCTCAAGCGGCTGCAGCATTAGAAGGGCCCGCGATGAGGGCCCAGGGCGTCCCCCGGCACCTGCCTAGGTCGCCTTATAGGAAGCGCAGGCCCTGAATGTTGGTCCACTCCTCTTCAATGGCTGTGCGAAGTTGCTGGATATTGGCTGGACCTGGAACACGCTGTCATATACGCTGATCCAGAGCATCCCAAACATGCTCAATGGGTGACATGTCCGATGAATATGCTGGCCATGCACGAACTGGGATGTTTTCAACTTCCAGGAATTGTGTACAGATCCTTGCAACATAGGGCCGTGCATTATCATGCTTCAACATTAGGTGATGGTTGTGGATGAATGGCACAACAATGGGCCTCAGGATCTCGTCCCGGTATCTCTGTGCATTCAAAATGCCATCAATAAAATGCACCTGTGTTCGTTTTCCATAACATACGCCTGATCATACCATAACCCCACCGCCACCACAGGCCACTCGATCCACAACGTTGACATCAGCAAACCGCTCACCCACACAATGCCATACACGCTGTCTGACATCTGCCCTGTACAGTGAAAACCAGGATCCATCCGTGAAGAGAACACCTCTCCAAAGTGCCAGACGTCATCCAATGTGAGCATTTGCCCACTCAGGTCGAGACCCTGATGATGGGGACAAGCATGCAGATGAGCTTCCCTGAGATGGTTTCTGACAGTTTGTGCGAAATTCTTTGGTTATGGAAACTGACTGTTGCAGCAGTTGTCCTAGGGGCTGGTCTCAGACGATCTTGGAGGTGAAGATGCTGAATGTGGACAGGGCCGGTACAAGGAATTTTGCCGCCCCAGGCAAAAAAAACTTGCTGCCCCACCCCCACCCACATATGTCCTGCCCACCGTGTGACATCACAATGCCCCGCCCATATGCTCTGCATGTAGACTCATCGAGCAGGGCCCTCAACCCCCTCTGTTCCTGTACATCCAGTGGTCTGATCTCAATTATGTGTCTGTTAGTCCACCCATTGTACAGCGCTACAGAATTTGCTGGCGCTATATAAATAACTTTCTGGCACTGAGTCACGGCAGGCAACTGCACTATGAGGTGCTAGGACCGGAGATCAATCAGCGACCCGACTCTGGGCCGTGTTTGGAGTGAAAACGGAGCTTCGAGACCTAGGCCTAGTCAAACCTATCCAGGTGGGGAGTAGGGCGGATGGCCGCTGCCATGCTACCCTACCTGGCTGCAACACGGAGGTCCCCTAACACAATGGGGTGATGGCCCTGCTTCCCCCCCTCTGGGCCGGTGGGGGTCATCCCGGCCTACCCTGGGGTTCTACCCCGAGCGGGGACTTTGTTTAACACCTAAGATGGCGGCTGAGCCTGAACGGCATGCTGTGGAGAGGGCGGCCCCTCCTCGGGGCTCTTGGCGCTCACTACGGGCAACTCAGGGAGAAATCATTAGAGCAACCTACCTATCCGGTGTCCCGGCCTGGGGTGCTCCAATCGACACCGAGGACCTTGAGACCATCTGACTGGCAAGCGGCTCCAAGGGTACTCAGACTATAAGCCGGAATGTTCCTGTACAAGCGAGCTACGCGCACGACAGCCGAGGATCAGTGTGAAGACCTCACACATACCCAGCTCCCACCCGCAACCGTCTGACACTACCTGACAGGCCACACCACAGCATCTTTATTCGGACAGAGCTGAAAAACACAGAACTGTGACCTGCCAGTGATGGGAGTTAGCTGCTCTCTGCATGAGGACCGGGGCTGCCTACTCTCTGCCTCCTGACCAACTACAATCAAGATCAAGTTCCCCTCTCCTCTAGGAGAGGAGTCTCTATTCGGAACGCAGGGTTATTTGTTAATCACGCTGGCATAATTTTTCTTTTTATATTTTAAGCAAACGCCAACCGGGCCATATTGCCTAGCATATTTGTCTTCCTCACCTAATCTACTAAAACTATGCTTTAAGTTTTTGCCTTTGTTCCATCTCTCAAGCCTGCTATCAGGCAGCGAAGTGCAGATTCAATATAAGTAACCTAACAGCTAAGCGAGACTAGCCTGCAAAAGCTTGTGTGTTGTTCACAGATTACAATGCAAATATGATTATACTGCATGTATACATTCTGGTAGCTCGTGACACAGCATGCCAATTCTAAGTTTAGATAGAGCAGCGATGTTACCATATGTACCAAGCAAGCCTCAGATATTTTCAGCTAGCATGTTAATCCTTAGGCTGTAAGATTAATCAGTATACTGCATTACTAAACTCTGAGACAGGCAGTTTTGTTTTGTGTAACTATGATCCATTGTTTAACCTTTAACATGTCTCCTATCTTGAATATAAAAAAACTGTGCTATGTATTTCAATGCCATACCTATGTTAATGTATGTTTTCAAACCTGCTTGCACCTGCTATTTTGGCGGTACAAACATGATTGTTCAAGCTATGCACAAATAAAATAAAGAACCGGCTATAGACACCAGAACCACTGCATTATGCTGTAGTGCTTCTGGTGACTATAGTGTCCATTTAATGTGAGGTAAATTAGAGATTAGTGCCACTAATGATAAATTTGATTGCCTACTTACCACCAGACGAGGACAAGAGGATGATGATGGCTCAGTCTGGCTCCACAGGTCTAGTGTAGAAGAGGCTCTCTGGAGACTGTTTGTAACAGTGCTCACAACAATTAACGAACAGGAAACAGCTCCATTTTGGGGGGGCCCCTTACACAGGTCAAGGTCTGGGCCCCCAGGGCCTGATCAAGATTATGCCTACAAGGCCCACCCAAAAAAATTCAACCTACATGGCCCACCCATGAGTTCTCTCATAGGG